GAAAGGAAGATCGGAAGATCAAACTCATCAAAGTAAGGGTTTATATAAAAAAACAAAAAACGTATCATAACAAAACAATAAACAATCATGTGATCTCGTGTTATGATACGGAATTTTTGTAAAATTATCTTCTAAAAATATTAAGTTTAAAAATTCCGTATACATTCCGCATGATTAATTTTTTCCGTATACATTTCTTATACATTAGTTTTTTAAAAAAATGTTCAAAAATGAATTACTTATTAAATATACGGAATTTGTATACGGAATCTATAGAAACGTACATAAAATGTATACAAAACGTATCCTTTCCGTATACATATTTTTTATAGGGATATAATTCAAGAATTTAATAACTTGGTGGCAAAAAAAAATAATAAGGTTATACAGTATATACAAATATTATTTCAAGCGTACCCTCATAAAAATACCGTCTCAACATATTAATATTTTTAACAAATTATAAACCAAATTTAAATTTAAATTCTTCTAATATTGATGGGACCTGGTCTAAATCAATGTTTTAAATTTAGTAAATTAAATTAGATCCGGATATTTTTGTCAGTTATATATGGTATTAAATAAGTATAATAAATATTAGATATATCCATTGTAATTAATGTTTGCTGGGTATAATAGCGTCTGTTTAATTTGATTTGTGCTCACTGAAGTGACAATTAAGCGTTCCTTTAAAATAGAATCGATGTCTTTAAAGATGATGTTGTATGTTGATGGAAGCATATTTCAACAAATTATTAATAACTTTTATCCATATATTCTTAATTTGATGAATACTGTATATAAATGTATAATAAAATAAATATTAAGTAATTCTCATAATCATTTCCAATTAATTACTAAGATGTAAATGAAATATATGATTAATAAAGCATTATAAAAATTAAATTAACAATTTAATAATTTAACGAAGGGAAAGGGGAAAGGTGAAACAAAGGGAAACGAAGGGGAATGGGAAACGAAGGGAAAAGGAGAAACGAATGGAAAGGTGAAAGGTGAAACGAAGGGAAACGAAGGGATGGGAAAACGAAGGGAAAGGGGAAAACGAAGGGAAAGGGAAAACGAAGGGAAGGGAAAACGAAGGGGAAGGGAAAGGAAACACGAAGGGAAACGAAGGAAAGGGGAAAGGTGAAACGAAGGGAAACGAAAGGATGAAGAAAAGGGGGAAAACGAAGGAAAAGGAGAAAACGAAGGGAAAGGGAAACGAAGGGGAAGGGGAAAACGAAGGGGAATGGAAAGGGGAAACGAAAAATGATGGGAAAAGGGAAAGAGACACAACCCACACTCCCACCTACATACCTAATAGAAGATGTAAAAAATGAACCAAAGAGAAGACCTAATAAAAAGAAGACTTAAAGAAAAGAAGTCCTATCGGGTGAAGATACCATGTTCAAGATTATTTAATTGAAGACCTAAGAGAAGAGAAAGCAAACTCCAGAGAGACGCCTAAAAAAAAGAGTGCGTTAAAACTAAGGTATTGGGGACATATTTATATTATTTATATTATACTGTATATTCATGAATAATTGAATAATTACTTGCATGAGTAATTTTTGTTAGTAATATATTATATCAAATGAGTAATATAGATTTATATTTATTACTCAGATCTAGTGATTATCAAAAATATTTCAACAACGTTGATTTTTTTGCTTAATTTCTGTATAAAAAAAAATATAAAGAATTTGTAGTTAAATTAGATTTTAGTGCATTAGATTTTAATAGGTTTATCAACTTTAACGTTTCAAATGTCAGCGTCTTAATGACCGCTCAATTAAATAAAAATTAATAAAATATCCGATTTGTTATGTGATTTTTCGTATTGAACGTTAATCAGATTTCTCCTACGTATGATAGAATGACGATGCATTTCGTTTGGACAAAAAATTTTGGAAAACATTTGAGAGTTAAATTAATTTATCGTAGAATAACTAGTTGAAGCTTGATAATAAGATCAAACAAAATGTAATGCAATATATAAACAATTTGCGTTAATATATTTACTATTATGAGTCCGCTATAATAAAATCTTTTTCGATGATATCACAATGAAATTTTAAGAGTAATGTATTTTATCTGTATAATCAGTTGAAATTTGTTAGTAAACAATATAATATTACAATTAATAGCGGCTATAATACTGTATGTTGCATCACACGATACAAGCCGTCAAATCATGTGCACGTAAAGTAAGATGAGCTGGAAATTTTTTAACTCAATTAGTAATAATCATATTTGATTATGTCACGATTTTTATACTTTGGCTATAACCTACTAACTTACGTAACTTCAAAATTAGTAAATTTATTTTTAAGTGTGTTTTATGAATTAAATTTATTATTCAACTTAAAAGTTACAATAATTATTTTGTATTGGAATTCCATGGAAGTTGCATTAGGGTTAGGGTAGGTTTAGGTTAGATGCCACAAAAAATGGTTAAACGTTAAGATTTCAGGTCGCTATTGACATGTGATCCTTGGCAATCACAATCTTGTACTATTGATAATTTGTATTTAATAATGTTATTAGGAGTCAGAAATTTTGCAAAAGCTAAAAATCTCATATGATTTTAACCAAATAGTTTAACTATCTAAATTATCAACATCATTTCTTTCAATTTTAAGGCCTTTCAGCAGAAATCAGTCATGGGTATATGGCAAGCGGTAGTGGTCAAAAGTGCGTAGCAAAACATAGCGTGTACACGCTACAAAACATAGCGTATACACGTTATCTTTTACGGCGGGTTACCCCTGTTCTGTTGGATTAACCTGTCAATTTCAGGGGTAACCCGCCATAAAAAACAGCGTGTATATGTTGTGCGTCAGCTGTCATCTGACGCAAATCGACACCTGACGCACAACATATACGCTACATAATTTAACGTGTATACGCTTTATATTATAACGGTTTATTAATTTATTTTGGACCAAATTTTAAAATTTTCAAGGGATTGAATACCCGCCGCTTCACATATCAGGTACCCGCCGCTTCACATATCGGGTACCCGCC